GGGTATTTCGAAGTCGCAGAAGTATGACGTCACAAGAAGGTGATTGGTCACTTGCAATGTTGAACCTGGAACAACATTAATTATGATGATGTGGGAACAACGCCAACACGAGGATATCAGATCGTCCCGCAAACACATTAGTCACAGAGTTTTATGGGGTTCCACTTCTCAGCTGTTTTCTATAAACCTTTACATTAAACCAACAAATGATTTGTACTTCTTATTAACATAACCACAGACCAAATTCCCCTCTGAGATCCAAAGATGATAACGGTAATTCGTTGGTGCTGTGTTGGACGTTCCTGAGGTACAAATTACATGTTGAAAACTCAGCGTTCTTGTTCATCTCTGAGCTGATTTTGAGAACAAAGTACAAAAAGGCTCATCTGCACTGTTTGATACTGCGACGCTACAACAAATGTAAAGACGTAAAGACGGGCACACCTGTAATTACATAACTGCTTCATGCAGTCTCAGTTCAGTAGAGTTCATCTTGACAATAAAGAGATAACAGTTAATGATTATGTGCAGTTAGACAAGTAGGCCACCATTAAACAGTAAGGTGTGACTTAGTGATAAAGGGTCAAATCAAAGCTGAAGAGGCAGCGAGTGTTTGCACACACAGTTCCTTCTGCAGCAGTCACAGCGGTGCCGTCACACTGATTCAGCTTTCTATAAATAAATCTGTTTACCTTGTTTGGCTTTTCTACTTTCATGCTGCTTTTATAAAAATGTTTCACCTCATGTTTTCATACCACTGTAAGGTGACCTAGAGGGTCTTTAAAGGCGCCTCCAAATAAAATGTATTATTATTATTATCCAAAGATTGGAATTAAATGAGTGTGTACTAAGTACACAGGGAGCATGAGCTCTGTAGTGTTTCAGCATTCGTTTGGTTTTACAGACGGGACTTCACAAAAACAAACTTCAATAGTGTTTAAAAACGGGAAAAAGGAATCTGAAACCAAACAAATACATTTGAAGCTGAAAAAACAAATTTATTCAACACATTTTTTTATTTTAAATAGCAAAACTTAGAATTTCATTTTCAAATCATTTTCCCAACCGTGACGTAGCTCCACACGGCTCTGCTGCCCCTCACAGCTGAGCTCGGGTTTGTTCAGCCACAACAGTGCTGATTGTTGGGTTTTTTATATTGTAGATATTTGTCTTATTAATAATAATGATGATAATATAAAGCACATATAAAGCATTTGAATTGAAGTGATATTGAAGACTCCAGGCGTGTTTTCAAAATACATGAACATGCACAGAGCGAGAGGACGAACATTTTTAATTTGGAGCCAAAGAAATGACATCAGCACACTGTCAGCCACGATGGCGTCTCTGTGAGGAGAATACTGTTCTCTGATTTATCCTTTAGTACCACAGTGAAACAGATTTATTCAGATTAGGATTTCAAGTCAAAGGAGTGTTTTTCCTCCGGTGAAGTGACATGCAAAATAGTTCACTCAACGTAACACAAGAAAACGAGTTAATGACAACTTTCTTTCTCGAGGTTTCCAGGATAAATCCCCTTTCTTCATCAAGGGACCATTTTTAACTCCACAAGCATAAATCTTGTTCTAGCTGACTGGATTCTGAAGGACGAGCACACTTGGACACCTCGTTGCAAAAACTCCAGAAAAGAAGCTGAAACCATTAAAGCTCAAACTGATCTTAAAACGCAGAGTATGACACAGGCAGAGCCTAACCTAGGACACACCAGGCCTACATGAGGATTTGCAAATGAGGAATATCTTCACAGCTTTGCTGTTTGAAGTCTGATCCCCATGTTTTCATAAGAGGAATGAGAACAACAAGAAATACATTTAAACGGGTCCACAGCATTCCAGTTAAATGAGGAACAAAGACGTCGGGTCAGAACAGCTCCTGAGTTCAGTGTCGACCTGTGGACAGGCCGTCAGTCCACTGCAGTGTGGAGAGCAGCAGGCCTGTGCACTCTTCAGTCTCTCCTGCTGTCGTGCACAAAGCCGCCCTCGCTGCCCGCCGACCTCCTCGCTCCAGCGTTAGTAAAGGCTCCAGGCCTGCTGATGCAGATCGAGTGATGACGAGGTGGAGGACGAGGCGGCGAGTTTGCGAGGGCCCAGCTGCTTTCCACACACACACATTCAGTCCAGCTTCTCCTTCTGGACCAGCTTAGGAGCGTCTACAAAGTCCCGTCCATAAAAGAGGATAAGCCCACCGGTGACTGCGCTGGCTGTTCCCCAGAAGAGGACGTAAGCCAGCGTCTCAGTCCACGTGTCACCTGACAGGAGACAACAGGTCGAACTGCGTCAGTGGAGCAAATTTATTTTTATTCAGTTTATTGCAGTTAGTCTTACCGGCCATTAGAAGGCAGATTATACACATGGAAAAGGCAACGACCATGATGATGGGCAACTAGAAGAAAGAAAAGCGGCATCACGTTAAAGACATCAGAGAAAGAAAATGAGTCGAGCTTCTTGAGCTCTTCTTACTGTCAGAAACTTCCAGTCCTTGGGGTCTCGCAGTGGAGTGGTCCAGTCAGCTTCATCGACAGCGTAGTTCCCCAGAAATAAATCGATGGAGTCCTGCAGGAAAAACAGCCCAGCTGAACTCTTCTCTGCAGCGGCATCATTACAGCTACGCTCTTCTATATGAAGAGGTTTTAACTGCTGGGTTGTTGCAAAAGATTTTGCAGTGACTTTGAAGTCTTTTTGTGTGCAGGTTTAGGATGTTACCGATGTCATTACTGATCTGCAACAAAGCAACGAGGTCCACACTGAACACAGTTTAACAGTTTTTGTCTCTGCTTACAAAAGAGCAACCAGTGTAAAAGCAAAGATGTTTTAAGGGATCAGCAGTTATTTCACTGAAGTGTGTGCAGCTCCTCGAGGTCGTGGCTTTAAAAGAGTGAGGCTGGACTTGTTTGAAGACTTTTCACCTCTCATCAGAGGCTTCTTCATTCTGGACTGTTGTTAAAAGAAGTGGGAAACATGGCCCTGCCTCTGAGCTCATATTTTTCTCATGTTAAACATGTTTCCAGGTTTGATTCAGACTAAAAAATATGGCTTAATGAGATTTGCAAATCACTGCACTCTGTTTTTATTTACATTTCACAGTGTTGTCCAAATGTCCCCACCATCAGTGCTGAGCCCTGCTCGACTTCTGCTGCTCATGACCTGATTTTAAAGGAATACATGCCTGTAAAGCGAACTCTACCTGCAGCGGTCTGATTACTCATAACATAATGATTACGTGAGAGTCATTAGCAGCTGGTATTATTGTGATATTGCTGTAGTATCTGATGGAACAGATTCATTTCACTTTGCAATATGGCATTCACACTATTCCACACTAATGAAGGGCGACCTGAACCCACCAGTGACGTGTGGTCAGCAGAGGTCATCATCATAATAATAATAATGATAATCAAATAAATGAAATCGTTTCTTTATCGAATGGTTTGATCTATGAACTATTTTTTATGAAACAATCTGATTGCACACACTCACACAAACTGTGCCCTGCCATGCAACGAAGCGCTGATAGGGGGCGCTCGTGAGTCCATGGTGCAAAAAAGGAACAAAGGGTCGGTGTGTGGACATTTATAAGTGAAGGTGAGACCATAATAAGGTTCATTTAAACAGTTTGTATGTGTAAACAACGTTGATATGAAACATGTTAACTGCTGCGAATCAAACAGGAGGAAGGACGGGCTCAGCAGCAGGACGCAGTGGTGCTTCTGCTCTGCAGCAACTGCTGCTGCTGTGATCATGTGTTTCTATTTGATAAGGCAGTCGTCATTGCTGTGTTAGACTCCACTGAGCATTTCCATCCATAATTAATCTCTCAACATCTGTCTCAGCCGCTGCCGCTGTGCACTGAGGCAGCTACCACTGACTTCCCACTAAATGAAAGCAGAAATCATGTAACGAAATGCTACTAATAAGTTATATCAAATGTCCAGAACAGCAGCAGCTGCTTCACCGGCAACACGAGGGCAGGAAGTGCCTCTACTAGCTGGCTGGAGCCAAATGGTGAATAATTTACTCTGTTGGGTTCATATATTTGTAACTGTGGTGGATCAGCCATGAAGCTCAGCGCACGTCTCTGGTACCCACCTGTCTGAAGCCATCAGAGAAGTTGTTTCTGTAATATCGGATCATCGAGTTCCAGCCGTCCATCAGCAGTCCCCAGTGTGTTCTCTTTCCTGTCCTGAAATATGAACATGACATTCAGCACCATTAAGAAAAGCAGCAGCATTTACAGCTACTTTATCATTATCACTGTTAACCCTTTAAGACCTACCATAGAACCAAGTCCGCCAGAGCTTATATTATATGTTTACATGCTGTGGAGCCATTTTTGGGAGCATTTCAA